TTTTAGGCAGAGACCCAACTCCCAACAAATTCTCCATGGTTTCCTCACATACACAAAACTTCCTGTCCAGCTCTCATTGCTCAGAGGGCAGAATAGGGAGTTCCAGGCACAGAGGAAGGGAAAAAACACAATAAGGATTCAGCCTCTGAAGCTTTTCTGCCTGACGTGGAAACATGGCTGGCTGGCTGGCTAGCAGGTGCAGAGAATTCTTTAGCTGAAACGACAGGGACATTTTCCCTGGCTCATCCCACTTAGGTATATGAAGACAGTCATGTGGAGGCAGAGATGAGGGGCTGGGATTTACAGACTGCGTTTGTTTGTTCTGTAGATGTCATGAGTGCTAGGAGCCGACTCCTCCTCTACCCCACCCCACCCCAACTTGGCACTCTGCTACACTCCCCCCCTAGCCTCAACCTACCTTTCAAACGCCCCGAGAAAATTATTTGCTGTCAGGAATCACAGTGGTTTTTGCTATATTTAACCTAGAATCCAAGCTCATTGCTTCTGCATTAGACCTGATTTCATGTCTAGTTACAAGTTAATGGATTTTTCCTCCTTACGGCGTTGCACAGGAATGCCATTTCTCAGCTCAGGAACATGCTTCAGTGGCAGCTTTTGTGCATCAAAAGCAGGCTGGGGCTTAAAGGCTGGGGAAATGATCACACCCGCAGAGACACTCCAGTGACCTGTAAGGTACACTGTGCCCTAGTCCAACCACAAGCTACAAGGCTCCATGCAAGAATGGCTGGGTGGCATTCTCTGTCCTGTTCTTATGCAATAGGTCATAATGATCCCTTCTGGCTTTAAAATCTGTTACCTCAGCTGTCAGCGCACCCATTATAGGAGCTGCTACATTCACTGGGCCAGCTCTCCAGCTGGTGTAAATCAGCATCACTCCATTGGAGTCAATGGGCTGCTCCTGGGTTAGGGGAGAGGATGCCAGGGCCGGCTCCAGCTTTTTTGCCGCCCCAAGCGGCAAAGCCAAAAAAAAAAACCAAAATAAAACCGCGATCGGCGGCACTTCGGCAGCAGCTCTACCGTGCCGCTTCTTTGCCGGCGATTCGGCAGCAAGTCCTTCCCCCAAAGGGAGTGAGGGACCCGCTGCCAAATTGCTGCCGAAGACCTGGACGTGCCGCCCCTTTCCATTGGCCGCCCCAAGCACCTGCTTCCTTTGCTGGTGCCTGGATCCGGCCCTGGAGGACGCCAAAAAAAATGTTTCACCCTGGCCAGCAAAATGCCTGCGGCTGGCCCTGCATGTCCCCTCCCCATATTCCCCCCCGCCCATATTCCCCCATGGTATCTGGCGAAAGAAATGTAGGTAATGAGATGACACCGGTATTAAAGGGACAGACCCAGAGGACGTAGAAGAAAAAGCTGGCTAGAAAGATGTGACGAGTCCTTCATTATAACCAACTTCCCAAAGGGCCACGGTCACTCCACTGGGGACTCTGCTATGTACCTTGGTTCTGAGAGCAGCATGAACCCCATTTGACACTAAGAAAGAAACATTTTAGCCTGAATAATTGAGATCCAGAAAAGGCCACATGCCCAGTCCATGATTTAACTGGCCAGCTCTGGAGGCTGGAACCAGAGGTTAAACCTTCCAGAAAATAGAAATATTAACGTCCTTTCCAGGCTGGAGAAAAGCAGCTTCCCAATAGGCATTATTTATATCACAATGCTGCTTGGAGAACCCAGGTGTGATTGGGGATCCGTTGTGCCAGGCAGTGTAAAGACCCCAACTGAGATCAAGGCTCCCATTGTGCTGGGCATTGCGCAGACACAGACAGGGCCGGCTCTGGCTTTTTTGCTGCCCTAGGCAAAAAAGCCACCCGCCGCCCCCCCACCCCACCCCCAGCACGGCAAGGGAGGGCGCCGAGCCCGGCCGCAGGCCCGCAATCCCCGACCAGCCGGAGCGCCGGGGGGAGGGCGGCGAGCCCGCCGCGGCTCCGCTCTCCCCGGCGGCCAGAGTGCCGGGAGCAGGGTGGAGAGGCCGACTGGGGCTTTCCGCTCTCCCTGGCGGCGAGCCCCCGGCAACCAGAGCGATGGGAGGAGGGCGGAGAGCCCAGCTGGGGCTCTCCGCTCTCCCTGGAGGCCTGAGCGCCGGGGAGAGGGTGGAAAGCCCGGCCGGGGCTCTCCGCTCTCCCCAGCGGCCAGAGTGCCGGGGGGGAGGGCGGAGAGCCCCCAGTGGCCAGAGCGCCGGGGGGGAGGGCGGAGAGCCCGCCGCAGCTCTCTGCTCTCCCCGACCGGCCGGAGCGCCGCGGGGAGGGCGGCGAGCCCAGTCGCGGCCCTGCTCTCGGGCTGGGCCGGAGCGCCCCGCCACGCCGCCCCCCTCCAGGCGCCGCCCCAAGCACATGCTTGGTGGGCTGGTGCCTGGAGCTGGCCCTGGACACAGAGTAAGACACAGTTCCTGCCCTGAAGAGTTTACAATCTAAACAGACAAAAGGCAGGAGGAAAACTGAGACACAGAGACGGGCAGTGATTTGCCCAAAGTTGGTGGCAGATCAGGAACAGAACCCAATCCATTACCTTACCCATTAGACCAAAGTACCACTGAAAATCTTGCCATTACATTTAGAAAAGAGTGGCACACTGAGATACAGAATGGCCCAGCAATATGTCCCTGGACTGGAACTAGAGGTTGTGGGTTCAATTCCAACTCTGCTACAATCTCTTTAGGTGAGTCACTTCTCTTGTTGGGCCTCAGTTTTCCCATCTTTAAACTGGGAATAATAATCCATCTCTTACCTATCTAGACTGTAAGCTCTCTGGGCCAGGAACTCTCTCTCACCATACATCAGTGCAGCACCTGACACAACAGGGGCCCGATCTCAGCTGGGAGTCTATGCAGCGCTCAGCCCAATGGGGCACCAATCTCAGTTGGGATGTCTAAAGGAAAGCTGATCTCTTGCAAAATCTAGCTTCTATAGTATGGACTAAAGGATATCTATCCCTCAGGGGAAATCCTCTCCCAGGACAATCCCAGACATTCGGCACAATGTGATGCCTCCCAAATGGGCAAAGACATCTGTGGTGGTCTCTCGTGTCATCATTTACACTAGTGTGAAGTAAGCAGACAATGCCCTCTAGATCGTTTCACATCCATCCAGCTCGACTGCATGAGGTTGGTCATTTGAAATCTCTGGTATTTGGGGGTGGATTGGCAGGGATGATAC